ATTTTGCACTATTCACCACTGCACTGTTTCATATTTAGTCATGTAAATATTAGTCTTTTCTTATTATGTTTATTGTTCATATTTAATGTTGTACCTGTACATAAGAGATGTGAATGCTCATTCACGGTGTGGGTCAGACCCTGGACCTCGACCGGCAAAGAATTTACGCAGACCTGCTAAGAAGAAAACCAACGCAGGAAAATCATTCAGTGCTCCCACATTGTAGCACAATCTCCTTCCAGATTTCTATTTCCTGTAGATAAAGCACAAGACCTGTATCATTTCAAATGGCTTCTTATCTTTGTAAACTGTTTACAAAGATCACTGAAGTTAAATTCAGTTCACTGAAGTTAAATTCTTTGTGTGTGTAAGCATACCTGGACAATAAATCTGATTCTGATTCTGATTCTGAAATGCTGCGTTCCTGCCACTTCCTGACTTCTTTCAATTATTCAACTGAGCAAACGTGACGCAGCTCCACTGGACTACAGCGTCTGAGAGGAAGTAAAGAAAATTACAGCTGCCTTTGAGAGCAGGATAGTTGACCTGTCGTTTCTTATGTCTTTGCTGATGACTGACCAGAGGCAGGAATGTTAACTGGGAAGTCTCCAGCTGTGAATGTGTTTAACCCCCTCCCTCCTCTACAACAACTCTGTAAGGAATGCATTCATATTCAGCCTGTCCGGTCTGACAAGCAGACAAAAAAAAAGGCTTCCTCTGGCCCTCAGATTGGCATCAAAGGCAAGGCAGACAGGGACGAGCCTTCAGGGCCCCGGGCTGGGTCTCCATTATGATGAGAACGAGATGGATGCCAGAAAAACAGGAATGTGAGCAGCAGTCGCTGAGAGATCACTGGATGGTGTTTTGTTCATGTTTGTGGTGACATTCTGCCATTTGCATGTATATGATGTAATTATGCACACACACACACACACACACACACACACACACACACACACACACACACACACACACACACACACACACACACACACACACACACACACACACACACACACACACACACACACACACACACACACACACACACACACACACACACACACACACACACACACACACACACACACACACACACAGCATGTGTGTCAGGCTGACCACATGCCATGCTCCAGTCTGAAGGGAGCACTAATTAGCTGTGTGTTTACAGCCGCAGACGGACAACAGAGTGAGGCCAGGCCTGCTGCTGGGCCAGCCAAGCAGGGATGAATGGCACCGCTTACAAAAGACGACGCCCCCAAGGCAAGAGGCGAACACACCAACACACACACACACACACACACACACACACACACACACACACACACACACACACACACACACACACACACACACACACACACACACACACACACACACACACACACACACACACACACACACACACACACACACACACACACACACACACACACACACACACACACACACACTCGTCTGACTTGTTTCTAGCATTTCAGAATCAATAAACCTTTCAGTATGTTGATTTCAGGTTTACAATATACATTTAAGCTCTGCTGGGAGAGCTAATCCTCTTTGATAAACACAGAGAGGAACATTAAGTATTAGAAAAACGGGTGATGGCGAGGGGGGGTAGCAGCACTTTACTATTTCAGCATGAGTTAATTAGTAACAACAAGCAGTGTCAGGGTATTATGTATATGATGAATATTATTTATGCTGTTTATTTCTTTCGTTAAAGGCAGGGTTGGTTATTTTCTCCAGATCCACTTTTTAAGATTTTGGTTGAAATTGTCTTTAGGTCCTGACAGACATTAATAAATCATGTTCTCTGAAAAAGGAACGAAGAAAATTCATCATCTGTATCAGTTTATAAGTCTGTAAAAACGACCAATGTCTGCCACGAGGTACCAATCTGATGAACCAATCAGACACCTCCCTGTCTCCCTGCTCGCTCTCTACCCCATGCTCAAAGCATGGTCCGCTTCTGGACCAACAGTGCTCGTGCATGTCAGTGAGGGGGCGTGGCTTTAGAGGGAGCACAGAGGGGAGGGATGCAGACGGAGCACTGAGGGAATGCTACTTTTAAAATCAAGCTAGTTTTTGAAAATGACCAACCCTGCCTTTAACTTATCTTTTACCTGCCTAGTTGTATAAAATTCTTCAGAACCAGACAGATCTAGACTTATATAAGGAGACTTTACATCATTGTAGATAGATACTGTACCAACAAGAAAACGCTGAATAAAAATGTCTAATTAGCTTATAGCAAACAAACAACAAAACTACCCCACATATATGTGTTAGTGTCGGCCCAAAACATCTAGTATCTGTGTAATGGGCATTTATATTTGTTTTAAAAAGTTGCTTTTCTTTAGAACTAAAACTGTACCACATACACCACAGATACTTAAGAGACTGACACTCTTCTTCCAACATTCAAATCTCTATTGGTGCTTTCGGTATTTAAAAAAAAATCCTGAAAACGTCCTCGGGTTTTGGAGGTAAGCTACACTAGTGAATGCAAACAGACTTTTGCTCTCTGATTTTAACAGACTTTCTCCTGCAAGCCTATCAAGTACATTCTCCACATTTCCACATGTTTTCTGTGTGCCATTATGTTCTTCTCTGCTTGTTCTGACATCTGAACCTCAAAAATATATATTTTTTGTTATGCAGCTAAAAATCCCAACACTTTTTATTGTTCCTCAACACCCCATACGCAACAGGACATCCGCATTTCTTCCTGTAGCTCTTTTTGGTCTGTATTATTGAACTGTATGCAGATGACACTATTGTTTTCTACACAGTAGTTTTTGTACAAAAAAAATGGTTTTGTTCAGTTTGGATATTTTTTCCAACTTGAGTTCAATTGCAGTTGCCCTGACATGCTCTTAAATAATGCAGAAGAAATGAATTATGAGACTTTACACCTGTGAAGGTAAAACGTTAACATTTGAAGAGTAGATACAGGATTATGTTTCATCCATCCTGTCATAAAAAAGAGTCCCGGTGTGTAAATCTTTCAGTTTTTATGATTTGCCTGTAAGCTTCAGTGTATGTAAGACTGGGGGTGGAGCTGTTAGAAATGGGATCATCCTGTTTCCCCTCAGAGACGATAAGGTCATAAAAACCTGGATGGTCTAGTCTGAGCTGTAGCCTTCACACACCTCTCTTTCATTCCCACATACATTTTAGGATTCTTCAACACTACCCTCCCATTAACTATTAATCCCTCTTTCTCTATTCTCTCTTTCAGCCCCTCCTGTAGCACTCACTCTCCTGGGTCTTCTCTCTGTACTCCTCCCTCTGTCTGCAGCTCTTTTCCTCTCTGAAGTCTTCCCCGCCCTCTCCTTTTTTTCCCCTCTTTCTCTTGGCACGGTTTCCTCTCCCTATCAGCCATCACCTTGTCTACTCGTCTTCTTCATTTTCTTCCATCTCTGCTTTAACATTCAATCTCCCTTTTTTTGGCTTTGGATTGCTGATCTTTTCCTTCAGGCTCAATCCTTTAGTTTCCTGATTTTCCTGAGTCAATCCTGCACAAGTTCCTTCCTCTCATTTCTGAATTTGTAACCAGTGACTTCCCTCTTCCTTTCCCGTCCCTTCCACTTGAGGTGTCCCACTTTCTTTCTTCCCCTCTGCCTTCATCTCGCCCACACCTCCTTTCTTTTCCCTCCCTTTCATCCCTTATCCTTCTCCTCCTCTATCCCCTGGTTACTCATATCTACATATCTCTCTTCACCTGTAATGTCTTCAACATCTACCTACACAGAGGTCATCTTGGTATATATCATCTCAATGCTTCCAGACCCTTCTGATGTAGTCAATGACAGAAGAGAACTTCCCTTCCTCTCCCATCTTCAGTATATTCAGCATGACTGCATGCCTCCAACAGTGATTGTTACACCCCGAGTCACACAACACCTTTTGTCTTTGCCAAAAAGTTGCACCTGAACACACCGCAAAGACTACAGCCAACGGCAAACCACCACGTATCTTCTGCTCATGTGTGAGAGGAAATAACTCTCCATGCCAGCAGGGGGCGGTAGTCTGTAATCATCATTCCAAAAAGGGGGAAACCGGAAAAGGATGAGGAAGAACGCGGATAAATAAACTGTTGTTGTGATACGAGGAGACAATTTTCTCACCGCTGTCGCTCAACACTCGAATTATAGGAACTTCTAATGGAGAATAATGTCTGATAAAAAGTAGAAAATGGCGCTCGCATTGTCAGGTCTTGGTCTTTTATTAGTGGAACAAGAAGAAGAAGAAGAGGTGCTTCACTATTTCTTCTGGTGCTCTGGCTCTCCTGTTTCGCTTAGCTGAACAGCCAATCAGAGAGATTCCTACCTCCAAACGCGATTCAACATGTGGAATCGGCTGAAAAAAGACCAACTGGGACCGACAGGTAGCGACGGAGCAGGACACACTGCAAAAACTAGGACGATGACCGCTCACAGATGGCTGATGGTCTCCTTGGTGTGACAGGGCCTTTGGTTTCAATCTGTTCAGTCGCTGTAGTATCTTTGTTTAAGTGTGGCATCAAGCCACACTGTTCCACTCACTGCAATGAGCACAGATGCTAAAGACACTATTAAACAAACAGCATCTGTAGTCAGAAATATTCACTAAACCAACAAAGCCACTTCATTTCCCTCTTTGCATAAGGTTTGCTAACAACTACAGTTCCCAGCATCTTCAAGGGATTATCTCAAGTTTCTAATGAACAAGTTAAAGTTGACATTGTATGAGGTACATTTTATAAAACTAATGCAGGCAATTACAAAAAATCAGCAAAAACAACAACAATTTTCAGCCTGTAGGTTTGGCGGCTTCTTTTACTTTCAGGGTTATTGATTATTTAGCCTTCCATCAGTGATGTGACTTTAGAGACATCTCTCTGTATGATCAAAACAAAGAGACACATCATTGAACATTATCTGCCACTTTTATTTGCAATCGAAAAAAACAATTAATACTCAAACTAAAAGGAAGAGGTTTGAAAGTGTTGGTCTCACCTGAGCTGTCCCAGGTTGTAGTGCCTGATCTCTCCGTCTGTGGAGCGCGTGACGCACACAGAGAAGCACGGCTGGAGCTGCCGGAGCTCCAACAGGACGATGGCCAGGTAGTGGATGAAAAGCAGGGCGTCCACCAGGGACACGGCATACTGCACGATGCCTTGGTAGTTCTCATCCTGTGAACAAAAAGGGTGTAAAGCATCTTCCATATAAATATATATGTAGAGATACAAATATGAAAACAAACAAACAACATGAAATGATCCTGCAGGGTAAAAAAGAAATGAGATGTAGAGCATATGAATAATTTCTAGAATTATTCTGATGGAGAAACCAAAAGGGATTTTAAATGATGTCTCACACAGTAAACAAAATGTCTGCGTGTTGTGATTTTTTTTTTTTTTTTTAGCTCTAAAGGCATTACAAATGTATGGATTTTTTTAGTTGGAATGTGCATACAAGCCATTTTAGATCTTATATGTCATGTCTGTAATCCCATCTCTTAGCTCACCTGCGAGTCGAGTATTCTGACTCCGTAGAACAGCCAATAGGAGAGCACGAAGAGCAGCACCAGCACTGCGAGCAGCGCCCGGAACACAAAGACGCGCGGGAGGCCGGCCCGCGGCGGCCTGAAGAACAGCGCCCACACAGCCAGCAGCAGGATGAGCAGCTTGAAGGCCACGGAGATGTAGAGGCCCTCGCAGGCCGTGCCGCAGCTCTGCAGCTTGTCCTGCCACAGGAGGTGTGGGAGCGCCAGGAAGGCCACGGGCGTCAGGAACACCAGCAGGCCCATGAGGACTGCCAGGGTCAGGGTGAAGTAACGGCGGCAGTCCAGACCCACACTGTCCTCCAGGTCCTTGGTGATGCGGACGATGTCCTCCTGAGAGAGGCTGTGCTCCGACGTGCCCGTGACCGCCGTGGTGGTCTCGCCCCAGTTGTCATCCTGCAGATACAAAAAGGACATTAAAAAGGACATTTCAAAGAGAGACAACAGACCACCACTGAGCCACAGCCATATATTGTGATGGATCATTATGTGATTGTTTTGTGATTTATTCACTAATGCAGAATCACTCTATTGGGATATTGTCATTACCATTTTCCCACATTCTCTGCTTCCCTATCCTAATTTACCTGCCCAGCTCTCATCCAAATACTTCAATCACATCTTGTATTCCTTTTCCTGCTCACCTGAGTCAGAGTGAATGCAGATTAAGCTCTGAACGAGTACTGAGTGTTATCTGTGATCCTGCTATGTTGAGAGTTTATGTCATGTCACATAAGATCAAACGATGCTGCAAATAAAGCTAAAAAAAAGAAGTAAAAATGTCTAAAAATGGACTGTATATTTCCTCATGTGGAAGGCACTTAGAGCAGAGAAAAGGATGCACGCAAGGGGTGTAATTAAGGGAACTGAGAGATGCACCCAGTGACTTCAGCAGGTCCTGCAAAAGCACTAAACTAACTAAAAAAAAACACACACAACAGGAGGATATGTTTTAGAGCTCGATATAGCAGCAAAGCTCAAGGGGGAAATGAAAAAGATGGGATCAGAGGATTGAAAATATGATGAGTAAAAAGCTTTTATCTGAGCGCTGCTCCAGGAAAACTGTGTTTTTATCTCACCAGTAGCAGTGCTTTAAAGACACACCTTTTTTTTTTTTTAGGCAGAAACGTCAGCTCCACAGAGGAGAGGGAGGTTATTCTTTAAGCATGTGGGAAAGAAAGGAACGTCAGACAGGAAGTGGGAAAAGTAAACAGAGCGAGCTGCCAACGCAGCAACCCGCTGACGTCTGTGTCCGACTGCATCCGCAGATAATGAAGGTCAGAGGAGTCAGTGTGAGAAAGAGAAAGATAAGGATTCTTTACAAAGAAATCATAACAAGACACTAACATGAAGGGGAAGGAGGAGAGAGAGGAGGAGAAGGAGGAGGAAGAGGAGGAGGAGGATGCATTATGATCACCTTAGATGGAGGGGGTTGGGAGGAGGATGGTGTGTTGGATGGAGATTTTCTGGCCTCAGGGTGTTAACAGCAGAGAGATGAAGCAGAAAAATAGGGAGCAGTCTCACTCAGGTAAGATATAATACAAGAGAGAAGCTACTGAGGAACAATACACTAATAATAGAACATTGACCATCATATAAAATCCACTTTTCGACGTTATCAGAGGAATCTATAAAGAATGGTAACTGACAAAGAGTATTTGCCTTTTCAGACACACTCATGTAATCTCATGAATCACTTATTCCAATTGAGGATTTGTGGGATTTGTTGGAGGATTATTTGTTAGGGTAATGATGTCCCAATATCACTTCTGTTTATAAAACCCTGTGAGAGGAAAAGCACTGAGTCCTGTTGTATGAGGTCTTCTAGTGCAAGATAACTGATTTTGAACAACCCGCAGAGACCTCTCTGAGCTACGGTAAGTCTCGACATATAAATATAAAAAAAAACACTTTCCATCTGTAGCAGAGACATCCATCAGAGGAGATGACGTGTTAAACGTTGACTTTGTGGTATTCTCACAAATTGTATCTATGACAAGCAACAGCACTTAAATCAGTTTATTTTCTTCTTGACAATCTGTTCATGAATACTCATTTTACTCTCTACAAGTCTTCAGAAAAAAAAGCCGAACATCACGACTGACTGATATCCTGAGCGCTTAACCAGGAGGTGGAATGCATGACCCGGGTTCAAAGGTCAAAGACATACATTTAAATACACTTAAGATGACACCTGAATGTATTAGAGAAAATATGTAGAAAAGTCTTGTTATATTTAACATACACATGTACAAGCAGACATAATGTGTATACGAGTCCAGCCAATCAGAGAAGAGACGGTGAGAGCCACTTCATTAATAATGGTCGAGTCCTCATCCTCTCCACAGAGACTTATGCGACAGGCTTAGAACTCACATGAGGCACTTATCCCCTACAGAGAACAAAAGTAAGCACAGCCTCATTGCTTTCTTTTCGTATTAGCAGAGATAAGTGCTGGGCAAAGAGGGTTAGAGCGGTACAAATCATCAGGGAACACAACTAGCCTAGCCTAGCAAAGCAGCACTGGAGATATTTGGTTGAAACAGGGTGGCAAGACTGTGATTTTTGTATTTCTCCTTTTCTATATTTAGTTTTTTTGTGTTGAATTAGTATTTAATAAACAAAGGGTCCTTAAGAAGCAAAGTAGAGTTTATGTTTCCTGCTAAAGTGACAGATTCTCAAATCATAACTCTGTCTGCCCGCCGTCTAGCTAGAGCAGACGAGCGTGCTGCATGTGTGTGTGTGTGTGTGTGTGTGTGTGTGTGTGTGTGTGTGTGTGTGTGTGTGTGGGAAAGGAAATCGATAAGCAGCATTAGTTGTAAGGCAGAGTGTCTCTCTGACCGCGCTGCACCTTGAGAACACTCAGGGGAGACATGAATCACGGCTCCTCATGCCTACACTCATCAACACTCATCGCCCTGGTTCCTCACCTCTGAGTCAATCACTGCCTTCAGGACTCTCAAACTCCATCTGGTTTTTTTTGTTTTTTACACAACATGTCCAGCATTGTTTAAGACAAGAGAAAGACACAAAATCACATCAAGGTAAATTGAAGTCCAGAAAAAACATGATGCTACAGCTCAACAATACGTTTCTATTGATACTTATTTAAGCTCTACTAGTCAACATCCAAAGGATACAGTAACAGAACTTGACTTTGTGTTTAAAGTCATTTCATATGAAGCAGAATTTGTGATGATTTCATTTTGACTGGAGGTGTAAACACATGTAACACTCACTCTGGCTCAGTGCTAATCTAATTGGTCCACATTGTTATTGCTGGCTCCTCTCTCCTGTACCTGGGCTTTCCCTCTGCCTGCAGGACTAAAAATAGGGTACTACTGACCCACATCGGCTCAGGGGATTAACCAATCACCACAGGCTGATCTGGTTCAGTACCAGCAGCCTTGCAGGAGGCCCGGTCCCATTCATCACATGGAAGTAGAGGGGAGGGAACAAAGGAGGAAGGAGACTGAAATGTTTGATAACAAGACGGCCAATTAGAGGGAGGAGAGGGACTGAAGTGGAGAGGGAGGGAGAGTCAGGGCAGGAGTAGTCATGGAGGTACGCACTGCAACTAAACACCTGTCAGCTCTACTCTTGTCCTCGGTCTGCACTGATTTATTCAGCCGAGGTTTTTACAAGCAGTTGCTGTGCTCAGGGAGGAGCAGAGTTATTCCAGAAACAACACAGATTAGAACGGAAACATTCGATATGACGTCTTCTAAATAAGGCAAAGGAGAAGAGAAGAGAGGAGGAGAGAGCCTGAGACAGTTAGCTTAGTTTAGCATACAATCTTGTAGCAGGGGTAAAAATCTGTGTTTATCAATGTCCAAGTTTAAGCAAAGGTCTACCGCCTTCCCTTTATCTCATGTTTCCTGTCCTAATGACAACAACTGGTTATGTAACACACAAACACTTCTTCAGTTTTCTCCTAAATCTAGCTTCTTCGCACCTCTTACCCTCAATAATAACACGTCGTCACTTGACTAAAACTGGTAAGTAAACTAAAATCAATTCTGTTTTTAATGCTAAGCTAGGCTACATTTTCTCCAAACTCAAAGACATGAGAACAAAAAGTGCAATCAAAAAAAGGTCTACCAACATCTCTTAAGTTCACTAACAAAGCAAACTTCAGCTACAACTTTTTAGAACATATAATTAGATTGCTTAAGTTGTTATACTAAGCTACGCTAACTGTTCTATAGCTCAAGGTTGTTTCAGTGTAAAAATTACTTAATTCTTGGGGAGACAAATTTGTTTTGAAAAAGAAGAGGGGGGCTGTCGTGCATGCAGCAAACTCCTGAGAAAAAACTCTTCCTCCATCACATCCAACCGACAAAAGAAACTGCATCTTTAAAAGACTGGACCTGAAAGATGTTCAAAGGCATCTTGAGAGCAGTTTAATAAGACCTACATTGTGCAATCAAGGCGTTTCTTTGATGCAGATTCTGGAGATATTGCAAACTGAGTGCTGCAATATGATACAGCAGCTGCTCAGCTTCAAACATGGACTTGTCTGGAATCATCATATTGCATATTGTGGGACTCCTTGTTGGGTTTTAGGTTTCCTGGTTCTACAATTCACTTGGCAGGCGCTTTTATCCAAAGCGACGTACATCAGAGAGTAAGTACAACACAAGCAAGGATCTAGAAAAAAGGGAACAATGTCAGTAAGAGCAAACAATCAGCTTTGAGTCCGATTGGACACACAGGTGCTGACAGGCATTGCACAGAAGCAAAGCACAACATTGACGGCAGTTCTTGAGAGCTCTAATCAGTATAGAAACCATCTTATAAGTCATCGTTATCAAACAAAAACAATTGTGACAACCATCATCATCATCATCAATGATATCGAAACCATCATCATTAAGTTAGTAGGTATTGATGAAAGAGCTGGGTCTTTAGCTTTTTCTTAAAGGTGCAGAGGGACTCTGCAGATCGAATGGAGTTTGGAAGTTCATTCCACCACCGGGGGGCAACAGAGGAGAGTCTAGTCAGAGACTTAGGACCCTGTTGTGAAGGTTGGATCAGACGCCTTTCGTTGGCAGAGCGTAGTGGGCGGGAGGGAGTGTAGACCTGCATGAGAGAGTCAAAGTAAGGAGGAGCCGTTTTTGTCGCTGTTTTGTAAGTGAGCAGCAGACTTTTTATTTTTTTAAAGATTTATTTTTGGGCTTTTGTGCCTTTTTTAATGCAGAGATAGGACAGCGGATAGAGTTGGAAACCAGGGAGAGAGAGTGGGTAATGACATGCGGAAAGAGGCCACGAGTGGAAGCGAACCCGGGCCTCCTGCTCAAGACGACAGCCTAAATGCATGCGGTGCATGCCCTAACCATTGCGCCACCAGCGCGCCCTGAGCAGCAGAGTTTTAAATTTGATGCGAGCAGTAACTG